AACTTCAAATCATTTATTCGTCTTTGAGTTAAGTATTAAGATAGTAATTGCACAAGGAAAGATTGTTACTCTCTCTATCCCAATTATAAGTGACAAAGTTTGAATTTTCAGAGTCAAACTTCTTAATTTTGATCGTGAATTTGGATATAGAATATATTTAGAAACTAAATAAAAAGTATTATAAATCACAAATAATTAACAATTAAAAATTATATGTATATCGAAATTTTAAAAAATGTCACATAAATTAAGACGAAAATGATAAACAAAAACAACAATTGGTAGTAGTAGATGCCTGGATGGTGATGTGGCTCAAACAACACTTCCTAATTAATGCAAGGATTAAATTAGTCAAAATATTTGAACTTTCCGTTTTATAAGCTTCACGATACATAACCACTGATTCAATCAATATCTTCATCTCATACTTCAATGACAATCTTGTTAGGTTCAGAAAATAATGCTTGTAAGAACGAAGACCACATAAATATTGAAATGAGTATAAATATCCAGAAATTAAAATGATATCTAATTATGTTTGGCAGATCTATATAATTCTCCTTTATATACTACAAAATTATAATCCTAAGTCTTAAGCAACTTGGTCTTAATTAAGTTTGTAAAAATTGAGCATTTTTTACCTCCCATCAAATAATTATTAAATTTAATCACTTTTTTGCGAGTTCAATGTTGTATGCGCTACCTGCCTAAACTAACACCAACTATATATTTATCAAAAAATATCTCATTTTCTGATAATATGTTGCTTTCTAATTCATCGTTAAGTTGAATTTAACTGATCGTGACAAAAGTTGTATGTCGCTAATTCTTGAATTTTGATTGCAGAAGATGCAAGTTAATTCGTCTAACGATCGACTTTCTTTCTTCCAATTGCTACGTTTTGCAGGCTTGAGATTCAATACTGATGTTTGTTGCTGCTTTCTTAACCGTTATGGCCGTAGCTGCATTCCCTTCCTTTGTTATACATATGAAAGTAAAGCCGTCAAAATGGGCTTAGTCCATGGGCAAGCCCAACTCAATCCGTTATTGGGTAGGATTGAAATATGATTTTTCAAGCTTATTTAAAATTAAGGCTTATAAACACGATCCATATAAGTCATTGGCCCTTTAGGCTTGATTGACACCTAAAAAGATTCATTTGACTTTTGAATGATGTCACATAAATTGGGACGGTCAAAACGATAAGAAACATATTGATATACTGATATGATGTGACTCAAACAACCCTTACTTTCACCCTAACCTCCTAGTTAATGCAACGATTGAATTAGTCAAAAGATTTGTACCTTCAATTTCACAAGCTTCACGACACATAATCACCGAGTCAATTCATGTCTTAAATCAAATTATAACTACTCTCTTGAGTCTTGAGTTCACTTTCTTACTAACTTATTGGACTTTGTTTGTGTATAATTAATTGCTAACGAGAGAGATTCGTGAGTACAAGTAGACATATTGCACGGCTATAGAAAGTTTGAAGTATAATCAAGTGAAAAATAATGAGTTTTGATCCCCATGCTATCGCATTATTCTAGTTTTGTTTGTGTATAATTTATTTGATCCGTCCAAATTCAGTCCAACCAGCCCATTTGACACTACACACAAAGATGGTCCAACAAGTTAAGTACGAAAGTGAACTCTAGAGAGTAGTTATAATCTTGATATTAAGTATATGGGGTCCCTATCCACCTAACTCTATGTAGGCAAAATTTAATGTCTTTCATTTTGGTCCAGAGTATAAAGTTTTAAGAACCTAAACAGAGAAGATTACCTGTTAGAAAGCATCAGTTATGTGTCAGAAGAAAGAGTTGTTGATAGTAATTGTTTCATTTCTTGTCCCATTTTGTAGTTCCATAGATACCATTTCCTTTAACCAAACTCTCAAAGATGGTGATTTGTTAATCTCTTCAGGGAAATCTTTTGCTTTGGGTTTCTTTGGGAATTCCCCTGGTAAACGTTACGTCGGAATTTGGTACAACAATGTTCCTGAACTAACTGTTGTTTGGGTTGCCAACAGAGACAACCCTGTTAATGGCACATCTGGGATTCTTACCATCGATTCAACTGGAAATCTTGTTATACGTCTCGATGCGGAATCAAAAACTGCAGCTTGGAGAACAAATGTTTCTTCAGCTACAAAACGAGCAGACTCGTATACAGCTAAGCTGGAGGATTCAGGGAATTTTATATTGTTTCAAGACTCCAAAATGGATGTTACTGAGTGGCAGAGCTTTGATTATCCTACCAATACTTTGCTTCCTTCAATGAAATATGGAATAGACAAGAGGACGGGTTTGAACCGGTTTCTAACATCCTGGAAATCATTGAGCGATCCAGGCACTGGAGAGTATCGTTACACAATGGAGCTCAATGGGACACCTCAAGTTTTCTTGTACAAGAACTCTAGCAGGATTTGGCGGACAGGATCCTGGACGGGTCATGGTTGGAGTGGTGTACCAGAAATGAGCCCACGATTCATCTTCAGCCTTAGTTATGTGGACAATGATACCGAGGTTTCCTTGACATATGGCATACATGATAGTTCAATAATCTCAAGAATGGTCCTGAATGAATCCGGGATCGTGAACCGGTTAACTTGGCAAGAGAGTGAGCAAAAGTGGGTGCAATTTTGGTCTGCCCCTAAAGACCCTTGTGACAATTATGAACATTGTGGAGCATTTAGCAATTGCAATCTGTTCAATTTGGCTGAATTTGAATGCAGTTGTCTTCCAGGGTACGAGCCAAAGCTAAGCCGACAATGGTTCTTGAGAGATGGCTCTCATGGATGTTTGAGGAAGAAAAATGAAGAGGTGTGCAACAGTGGTGAGGGGTTTGTCACATTAAGTCATGTGAAGATCCCCGACACGGGTGCAGCTCGGATGAACAAGAGCATGGGATTGAAGGAATGTGAAGAGTTGTGTCTGAAGAACTGCTCCTGCACAGCCTATGCAAGTGCTAATATTAGTGCAGGAGGAAGTGGATGCATCACTTGGTATGGTGAGTTGACAGACATAAAGCAATTTACAGATGGGGCCCAAGATTTATATATCAGAGTCTCTGCATCTGATTTAGGTAAGGAGTTAACTTAATATATTGTGTGAGGATTCAGGTAATTCACTATTATGCGGAGAAGAAATGTGCAAGTTGATCATTTTTGGTTAGTAGCAATACACAGTATCTAACCCTGGTGTTTACTGGAAGTTCTCATTTTTTCTTTGTTCAGTGCAATTCTCGAAGAATTCAAGAGGCCATAATAGGAAAAGAACGATAGGGATTCTAGTAGGGTCTGCTGCAGCAATAATTCTTGCACTCTCTTTGGCATGTTGTTTGGTTATCAATACAAGGAGAAATGGTAAGGATATTATTCTACATCATATTTTAGTCGAATATTTTCAGTATCTGTACAGCAGCTATAATGGTGAAGCACCTATAGCAACTTAGATCTCTCTACTACCTTTCTATATCGTGCAGCAAAAACAATGATATAACTGCAAATTTCATTTGATCCTAATCGGTGTTTGCTGATGTACAGATAATGAGAGAAGTGAAAGTTTAGCATCCTATGACGGCATGGATGAAAGTAAACATGCAGAAATCTCAATCTTTGATCTAACCACAATAACTAATGCCACTGATAAGTTCTCTGATGCTAACAAACTTGGTGAAGGAGGATTTGGTAGCGTATACAAGGTAACAACTCCCAAACATGATTGATATCCTAGCGATCAACATTATCTTTATAGGAGGCTGCAAATAGATGTAATAATAATTATTAAACCAAGCTTTTCACCCTTAAAAAAAAGAAGAAGCTATGTTTACCAAATAATAATCTGGATTCAATATCAGGGTCATCTGACAGATGGACAAGTAATAGCTGTCAAAAGACTTTCAGTAACTTCAGGGCAAGGGACGGAGGAGTTCAAGAACGAAGTCACACTAATTGCAAGACTTCAGCACAGAAATTTGGTGAGGCTTTTAGGATGCTGCGTTCAACGAGGAGAGAAGATGTTGGTTTATGAATATATGCCAAACAAATCCTTGGACAGTTTTATTTTTGGTAAGGAACATCTTCAGGACCGGAATTTCTTTCATTGACCTCCAGTCTCTACATGCTTTTACATGTTTACTGATGCTTACTGCTTTAACGCGTGTGTGTTCCTAAAAGATTTCTTATGCACAAATTTTTAAACTGTGATCCAGATAAAACAAAAGGGTCTTTGTTGGATTGGGGAAAACGGTTTGAAATCATACATGGGATTGCACGAGGAATGTTATACCTTCACCAAGACTCTAGACTAAGAATTATTCATAGGGATCTAAAAGCAAGCAATGTTTTACTCGATGCCTCCATGCAACCAAAAATATCAGACTTTGGAATGGCCAGAATATTTGGAGGTGACCAAATGGAAGCAAACACAAATCGAGTAGTTGGAACATAGTAAGTATGTCAAGTTGTGTATAAACATAAATGAGTTATGTTAGATATGTGCATGTGATCTTTAAAATGATAAATCTTGACATTGCTTATCTATTGCAGTGGTTATATGTCACCTGAATATGCAATGGTAGGGCACTTTTCAGCAAAGTCTGATGTTTTCAGTTTCGGGGTTTTGTGTTTGGAAATTATCACTGGCAGAAAGAACAACAGTCATAAGGATCAGGAGCAATCTCGACATTTAGTTGGATATGTAAGTACAAACATATATATGCTGTTAAAATCGAGAAATTGCATTTATTATCTTACAGTTGCCTTAGACATAAGCTGTGTCATGGATGGTAGTACTGCAAATAATAATTTGGAAACAATTCCCTTTCAGGTTGTTAAAAGTGCTGAATAGATCGAGATTTTGTATTTCAGAATTTCAATTTTTGGTGTTATGGTCGCTTCTCTTATAGAGAAGAAATTGTCTGAAATTTTGATTGTGATGCATTGTGGTGTTTCTATTTAAGGTTTGGGATCTTTGGAAGGATGAAAAGGCTTTAGATGTTGTTGATCCATTGTTAGGTGGCTCATATGAAGCTTGTGAAGTTTTGAGATGCATCCACATTGGCCTTTTGTGTGTACAACCGTTTACAGATGACAGACCGACTATGTCAGAAGTGGTCTTCATGCTGTGCAATGAAACAAATCTTCCTTTCCCTAAACAACCTAGCCTTATATTCAGATCAGAGAATCATAGTTCAGTTAAACACTCTTCATCAGCAAGTATAGCAACATCTTCTGTCAACGATATGTCTATTTCAACAGTTCATGGTCGCTAGAGCTTATGCTAACTATTCAAGAACTATTTTGAAAGAAATACAGAATTCCTTTTTCTGTACTTTGCTTTCATATTATTAGAGAGATTTATTGGTGGGTTATACACAACATTTAACATGCTAGTCCATTCTTGATTGAAACTAGTGGGGTTGGGCTCTAATAGCACTGGAACCAACACTGACTTCTGATTCCCCATGGCCCATGTTACAGACTTAAAGGTAGGTGGGTGGCAAAGGATTGGTAGGAAAGAAGCATAAACACAGAGGGTTTCTATTTCATCTGTGAATTAAATGGTGCTCTTTGTCAGCTGTATTTGATAATTGCCACACTTCATGTTTTCTTTAACAGTCTTCTCTGTGTTCATCAATGCTCTAAAAGCAACAAAGGCTAATCCTGCTAGCCACACACAACTTTTCAATGTTTTTATTGATTTGCAGGATAGTAATTTGGTTGTGGAGTTTTGTCAATTAATGAGATATTTAACTATTATTAGTTGGTTATGTTTTTCCTCAAAAATTATTGATAAAAAAATACAAACATGTAAGTTATCTTATGAAAGATTTTAACTTTTGTTTCATAATTAGATCATGAGATAGACATGTATCAAATACAACAATAATATTATGATCATGAGTAAGAGCACTGTTGTTTCAATCTTTCTGTGATGAGTATCTGTAAAAGTAATATCAACTAGTCTATTGAAAATCTTTTAGCATTATTTGCATTGAATCATTGAAGACTATATCATACTTTGGGAAGTAATGAGCACTAGATACATTTGATAAACAGATAACAGAAATACATATACACGTCAGACAACTACCGAACATAAGGTGCTGTAATTGTCACCTCGTTGATCGAAGATGATGCTGTTTCAGTAGTAATCAAGTCTGAGTTAGGGGTAATGAAGGGCTGCTTCGGGGAGGGAACTGTTGCTTCAATACTTAGCATGGACAGAATTGTTGACATGGTTGGTCTGTCTGCTGCGTTGAGTTGCAAACACAATAGTCCTACTAGAATGCAGCGTAATGCTTCCTCACTGGGACAAGAATCAACTATTGATGGATCTACCAGCTCAAAGGCCTTACCATCATTCCACAACTCCCAGGCCTGAAGCAGCAGTTCATTTAGAAAATAAGTATGATTATTAAATCAAAAGATAGTTTCAAATGTTGTATCTTAAAACTCACCCGTCGTATCAAATTTGGAGGGGAATCACTATTATAAGAGACCACGTTCCTTTTGCCACTTATGATCTCCAATAATATAACACCAAAGCTAAAGGCATCAGATTTTACTGAGAAGAGACCAGCTCGAGCATATTCAGGTGACATATAGGCACTGCAAAGGAAAAGGGCAATAATGAGCCAAGTAATGAAAAATGGTAAAGATGCGACAGAGAAATCCCTTTTGGTATTTTCTTGCTTACTATGTTCCAACAACTCGAAGAGTCTTAGCTTCATTCTGGTTTCCACTAAATATTCGAGCAGTACCAAAATCTGATATCTTGGGGTTCATATCTTCATCTAAAAGAATGTTGCTGGCTTTCAGATCACGGTGTATTATTCTTAATCTTGAATCCTGATGAAGATAGAGTATCCCTCTAGCGATTCCAATAATGATTTCATACCGCCTTCTCCAATCAAGCAATGACTTCCTGCTCTCGTCTAAGTTGTTCATATCAAATTTATCCAGTAAGCACTACTTAGGAGGAAAGGGTTAACACAAAAACAGATAGTAGTAAATTATCATACCAAATATGAAATAGTCTAGACTTTTGTTTGGCATATATTCATAGATCAACATTTTCTCCTCGTCTTCTTCACAGCAGCCAAGAAACGTAACAAGATTTCTGTGTTGAAGTTTAGCAATGAGAAGGACCTCAGTTTTGAATTCACTAATTCCTTGCTGTGATTGAGTTGATAGCCTTTTCACAGCTATTTTCTGCCCATCTGGCAATTGACCCTAGAAATTGCAATGCAATTAATCACACCATTAAAACACAAGTATGGAAAAGATTTTAGTTAAAACCATTACGCTACCTGTTCACCTCAAGAGGGACTTTTTCCCATTTTCTTTGGGCCTGAGTAGAATTTAGTGTTGCAGTTATTCAGGTTGTCAATATATTTTCTTATGTAGTAACAATACCTTAAAAACAGGCCCAAAACCTCCTTCTCCAAGCTTATTGTCAGGTGAAAAATTATCTGTCACAGCTTTCAACTCACGTAATTCAAAGAACTTCAGCTCGATGGAACGTTTATTTTCTTGTCCCATTTTACTGGAAGTTCCAGGTTTTGATAAGTTAGTTGCTGATTTAGAAAGTAACATTTCCCTGAACTTTTTCCTTCCCAAAATCCCTGATGTAAATCAATATAAACAGGAAGTTTATTGATGAGTTTAGAAGAAGCTGGACATGGGCAATTTTAACTTTTATCTAAGCATAATTCGGAGAATATAATTTCCTTTCCATGACTAATTAAATCAAAGGTTACATTTTGATTGACCTCTTTCAGTCATGCCAAATAGAAGTGAAACTTAAGTTACTCAACTGCTACTAGCAAGAATTAGAATGTACCTTTTTCCTTGAGTTTTATTCTCCATAGAAAGTAACAGCATGTACCACAGACAAAACTTGCAGAAGTGATGGACACTACTAGTGCTACCAGTAGTAGTTTCTTCTTTCCTAAACATTAAGGAAGATCAAGAAAGGAGGAAAATAACATATTTTTGGTTGAAAAGGAGCACATTAGAAATAAGATGCAGCTTGGAAGCACCTAACCTTTGTTCGAGCGCTCAAAAAGCTTAATGTTGAACTCTACTTGACTTGAATTATTAGGTAATATTGACAGATCAATCAAATCGCTATACCAAAATAAGCACTCTCCACTATTGCTGTAAGCATAAGCATTGCATGAGCAATTGGATGAACATATATATTCACAGATCTGATCATTTACTCCTTTCATTGATTCAGATGACACAGGAAGTTTTACATTTGGCATACGGACAAATTTTTTGTTATTGCTGCCACACTGCCGCGGATTTTTTCTCACACACCCACCTGAATAGTTTCTACTATCCCAATCTAATTTAAACTTCGGTTCATAACCTTTTAAGCATTCACAGGGTGGATTGGCATTCATGTCACAAATTCCAAAAGCACCACAGAAATTTATTCGGTCACAATTATCAGTAGATCGAGACCACACTAACTGCCAACTCTGATGATCTTTAGACCAGAACCATTGCTTCATCGACCCATTAAATTCTAAGACAATTCGAGAAATGTCAGATTCAGCAAAGCCATTGTAAGTAATATATTTACTATATTCAGTTGGATCATAACTGAAGTCGAATAAATCCTTATAATAATTTTGTTCTGCTCTAATAGCAAACCCTCCTTCATTCCAAGGCCCAGACCTCCATTCTTCCTGGAAATTATGTTGAACAACTAACTCACCATTTTGATTCTGGCCTACTTGCAAAGAGTAGCTTCCTGAAGCTGGATCATTCAGATCCCTCCAAGAAGTAAGTTTCTGGAGTGTGTTCTTGGACTTATTAAATCCAATCATCGCACCAGGCAGCCACGTATCTGTAGGATAATTAAAGCTCTGCCACTGTCTGTCAATGCCATTTGTCAAAACAAGATTTCCAGAGTCAAGAAGTACTGCTTTATTGGCATATGCTGAAGGTGTGGATAAACTAGAACTCCAAACTCTTTGTTTACGTGCATCCAAGAGTTGTAGATTTCCATCAGACAGCTCTAGATGAGAATTATTGAACGGAGGACGAATAGGGTTGTCCCTATTTGCTATCCAAACCACAGTTTTGGGCTTTATGTTTGTATACCATATACCAATAAAAAGCTTTTCAGAATTACCTGGACAGAAGAAACCGAGTTCAAACTTCCCTTGTTTGGATACTAAAGTATCTTCTGCAGAAAAGGAAAAGGACTGGCCAGGCAACAAGGTATCTGAACGAGTACTATTGCAGCTAACTAAATGAAAGTAAGAAAGCAAGAGAACCAATATTATCTTCATTTCTCACTACTACATAAAAACGAAAGAGGAGAATAAAGAAAGTTACTAGGTGATGGGCAATGAAACTTTGGGGGAAGTCTGATAGAGGACTAACAATAATAACCAGTAAATACAACCAAAGTTCCCACTTAATCATATACCCTAGTTCAAATCTTTGAAATTTCTAAGAAAGGAAAATACAATTGATGAAAATGACATCAAATTGCAATCTTTCCACTAAAAAATAATTACGTAACTTTGACCAACTAATAATTCCAGGCATTCCCACTGGATGTACTTGCTTCAATTAAAGTCCAAAAGGTGGCTGATAACGAATTTCACCTAACCTTGCTTATTGTCAATGAACACTTTTCCCAGTGAATGAAAAGGAATTTTATTGATTCTTAAAGTGAAAGATGTCTAGCTACTTCAGTGTTTAGTTCTTTGGTGATTTGAGTAAAATGATGATTGACTTACTCTTGGATACATCCAATCCAAATCATCAAACATCAGATATCTAAAAAGGATGAACACACTAGCCAGTTAAGTTAGAATTTAGTGTTGAACATGATTCTCCATCCTCACCTGCAAAGAAGAAATGCAAAGATGCATCATCTAATTCATAATGTTTGGGCCCAAGTTCATGGACATTTGTTTTGGAATTAATGTTATGGGCCACATTCAGAATTTTCCTCCTTAGCCCATCTTATATTTTCTCTTATCCAGATCTTGTAAATATCTTTAGAGAATAAAAGTTTGTTATGGTCACAGCCAATAGGAAAAGGGACAGCTGTGAATTAGTTAGGGTAGAACTTTCTTTTTGCTTCTTTTAGCTTGTATATAGATGGTTTGATAGAGTGATGAATGCAAGAGAGAAAAATTCCCCAGAATACTCTGTTTTCCTACATGGTAGCAGAGCAATAGGTGCTCTTCTTCTCCGTTTCTTCCCTCTCATTTTTTCACCTAATCTTGATTTTCTCTTCTCCTTGCAATGGTTGATACTTCTTCATCAGAAGTCCAGCCAGGCACTCAGTCCAGCACTCTCATTGACTCTGCCAGTCCCTTCTATATTCATCCTTCTGATTCCCCTGGAATGCTGTTGGTCAATTCTCCATTCGATGGTAAGGGTTATGCTGGCTGGAGTCGTGCTCTTGTCATTGCCTTGTCAGCCAAAAACAAACTTGGACTGATCGATGGCAGTCTAGCTGAGCCTCTGCCTTCCGATCCTACTCACAAGCTTTGGGCTAGATGTAATGACATGGTCATTTCATGGATCCTCAACTCTCTTTCAAAGGACATTGCTGAATCTGTCCTCTACTCTAGAACTGCAAAAGAAATATGGAAAGATCTATCAGCCAGGTTTGGACAATGCAATGGTGCACAACTATATCAGCTTCAAAAAGAACTCTCTAATGCAGTACAGGGTAACACTGATATAGCGTGTTATTTTACTAGAATTAAGAAGCTCTGGGATGAGCTTGATGCTTTCATTACCCTCGATCATTGTTCTTGTGCGTGTATTTGTGGAGGCAAAATAAAAACCATCAAGTCTCATCAGGATGGGAGGTTGATTCAGTTCCTCATGGGACTCAATAGCTCTTACTCAAGCGTTAATAGTAGTATCCTTATGATGGATCTTCTGCCTTCAGTCAGTCAGGCATACTCTTTGCTCATTCAAGATGAAAAGCAAAGAGAAGTGCATATGGAATCTAGCCCTTCACATGGTGCTTTCTCAGTGTCACATCAACAGTTTGGACATAATCAAAGGTTCAATAATACTCAAAAAATTTCAGGAAATCAGGATGGGAGGTTCAGGACTCAGGTTGACAAACCCAAAACTGGACTCTTCTGCACTCACTGCAAGTTAACCAATCATGAGGTTTCCAAATGTTATAGGTTGATTGGTTTCCCTCCTAATTTTAAGTTTATCAAGTCCAAGAAAGAAAAGTTTGCTGCTCATAGCACTAGTAATGTGCAAGGTGATCAATCTCCTGATGTTAATGCATCTGCCAATTGTGCTGGTATTTTTACGCCTCATTTCAATCCTAGTTTCTACTCTTTTTCTTCTCACCTCACTTCTATTTCTTGGATACTAGATTCAGGGGCATCCGACCACATGACTTTTAATTATTCACTCTTGTCTAATGTGACTCATCTGCCTACTGTTCTGTATGTTAATCTGCCAAATTCTCGCAAACTCAAAGTGACACATAAAGGGAGTGTGCATATTCTGCCTGATCTTGTGATTGATAATGTTCTTTTTGTTCCTGATTTTAAGTTCAATCTTCTTTCTGTTCACAAATTAACTTCTCAATTTCATTGCTTGCTAACGTTCTCTTCTTCTGGTGCTGTTTTTCAGGGCTCTTCTATGAAGAGCCCACTGGTTCTTGGTGAAGTTCACGATGGCCTTTACATTTTCAAATCAGCACCTATCCAGTCCAGCTTGGTTCCAGACTCATCTTGTCCAGTTTCAGCTAGTAGTTCTTTGTCTAAGTCTGTTTGTCATTTTCCTTCTAGTGGTTTAGGCGTTTCTGTTTCCTCTACTTTTAACAATGACGATGTAAGCCTATGGCATCAAAGATTAGGGAATTTGCCTCTTTCTAATATGAAGAATATTTCCAATTCCCCTTTTACTTTTTCATTGCCTACTTTACCTTTTCCGTGTGATGTTTGTGCCCAAGCTAGACAATCTAAATTGCCTTTTACTTCTAGCACTATTTCCACTCATGCAATTTTTGACTTGATTCATGTGGATACTTGGGGTCCCTACAAAGTTCCTACCCATAATGGCTTTCGATACTTTCTCACCATTGTGGATGATTATAGTAGGGGAACTTGGTCCTATTTACTTAAAACCAAGAGTAACGCTTTCCATGTTCTCAAACAATTTCTAACTCTTGTTGAAAGACAATTTCAGAAGAAAGTTAAAATTATCAGATCTGATAATGCCAAAGAACTTGGCTCTAGTTTATCCAATTCTGATTTCCTTTCTTCTCATGGAATAATTCACCAAACAACATGTGTCTACACGCTGGAGTTGTTGAACGAAAGCATCGACACCTTTTGGAAACTTGTCGGGCTTTACTTTTTCAGTCTCATCTTCCTTTATCTTATTGGGGGGAATGTCTTTTAACAGCCACTTATTTAATCAACCGATTTCCTTCAAGGGTCCTCACTTTCAAGTCACCCTATGAGATACTTTTTCAGTCACCACCTTCCTATCATCTTCTTAAATCATTTGGTTGTCTTTGTTATGCTAGTACCTTACCTCATTCCAGATCCAAACTTGACCCTAAAGCTTCCAAATGTGTCTTCATTGGCTATCCTTTCAATAAAAAAGGGTACAAGCTTTTAGATCTTACTACTAAAAGAATTTTTATCTCCAGGGATGTCATGTTTCATGAATCATTTTTTCCTTTCTCTCCTTCGTTTTCTTCTATCTCTTCATCCTCACCTGTTCCTTCTACTTTATTTCCTTCTCCTCCTCCTCCACATCTAGATATTCATCCCATTCAGTCAGATACATCTCCTGTTCCTCCTCCTCTACATCCAGATATTCATCTCATTCCGCCAGCTATACCTCATGTTCCTCCTCCCACGTTTCCTCCTTCCGTTGTTCCTCTTTCCTTCTCTTCTCCTTCTCCCTCTACCATCACTCCATCTCTTTCTTCTCCTACTCCCATTTGACATTCCTCTAGGACTTCTCATCCTCCTATTCGTCTCACCGATTATATATGTAATTCTGTCTCTTTCACTAATGTTACTTTTAGTTGTTTTGCAGCTCCTCTCACTTCTTCTATTCTTTCTTTTTCTGCCTTATCTCCCTCCAATCAATCTTTTTTAAACTCTGTTGCTCATATTCCCGAATCCACTTCTTTTTCAACTGCTTCTTTACACCCTTGTTGGCAGGATGCTATGGTTTGAGGCTTTGCAACTCAATCACACTTGGGATTTGGTTCCTTTACCACTCGGAAAACGAGCATTACCTTCTAAATGGGTTTATAAGTAAAATATAAAGCAGATGGTTCAATTGAAAGGTATAAGGCTCGTCTAGTGATTCGGGGTGATGTTCAGAGGGCTGGCATTGATTATACAGAGACTTTTTCTCCTGTGGTCAAGATGACTACTGTGAGATGTCTACTAGTTGTTGCTATTAAAAAGGGTTGGGATTTGTTCCAATTGGACGTCAACAATGCTTTCCTCCATGGTAATTTACAAGAGAAAGTCTATATGAGGATCCCTGCTGGTTTACAGATTTCTGGTTCTAATCTAGTTTGTAAACTCAATAAGTCTCTTTATGGGTTAAAACAGGCCTCTCGTCAATGGTATGACAGGCTCACTGCCGCCCTTCAATTCAAAGGTTATCATCATTCTTTGAATGATTATTCATTATTCTTCAAACCGACATCTATTGGTATTTGCATCATCGTTGTTTATGTCGATGACATTTTAGTTACTGGGATGATCTGGATGAAATATCTTCCTAAAAGTCTTTTCTTCATTTCGAGTTTCAGATCAAAGATTTAGGCCTTGCTCATTATTTTCTTGGTTTGGAATTGATCTGAGAAGAACGGGGGTTGATTGTGACTCAGAGACTATTCACCATTAATCTCATTTCTGAGTTTGATTGTCTTGACAAGAAACCTGTTGTTTCTCCTTTGGAGCCTTCCACCAAGCTTCGTGCCGATGTTGGTGATATTCTTCCTGATCCGCTTATTTATCGAAGACTTGTCGGCAAGCTCAATTTTTTGACTCATACTCGACCGGATCTTTCTTTTGCCGTGCAACACCTCAGTCAATACATGCAATCTCCTCGCATGCCTCATTATCAGGCTGGTCTTCACTGTCTTCGTTATCTTCTTGGCAACCCTGGCATTGGTCTTCTCATCAAATCGTCATCCGTGTTTGACCTTCAAGCCTACTGCGATTCTGATTGGGGTTCATGTCCAGAGACTCGTCGCTCTATCAGTGGTTATTTCATCAGTTTTGGAGGTACTCCAATTTCCTGGAAATCAAAGAAACAACCTTTGATTTCCCTTTCATCTGCTGAAGCTGAATATCGATCAATGCGTCGGGTTGTTGCCGAAATCACCTGGCTTGTCCGTTTGTTATCAGACCTCACTGTTTCTCCATCACTTCCAATCCCTCTCCATTCAAATAGTCAAGCTACTATTCATATCGCTAAAAATCCAGTTTTCCATGAGCGAACCAAACAAGTGGAACTTGATTGTCATTTCGTCAGGCAACAATTTCTTGCTGGTCTCATCTCTTTGCATTACCTTCCTTCCACGTCTCAACTGGCTGACATCTTCACTAAACCGCTTCACGGTTTTCCTCATCATCACTTACTTGGCAAGTTGGGGGTCTTTCCACACCCTTCCAACTTGAGAGGGGGTGTTGAACATGATTCTCCATCCTCACCTGCAAAGAAGAAATGCAAAGATGCATCATCTAATTCATAATGTTTGGGCCCAAGTTCATGGACATTTGTTTTGGAATTAATGTTATGGGCCACATTCAGAATTTTCCTCCTTAGCCCATCTTATATTTTCTCTTATCCAGATCTTGTAAATATCTTTAGAGAATAAAAGTTTGTTATGGTCACAGCCAATAGGAAAAGGGACAGTTGTGAATTAGTTAGGGTAGAACTTTCTTTTTGCTTCTTTTAGCTTGTATATAGATGGTTTGATAGAGTGATGAATGCAAGAGAGAAAAATTCCCCAGAATACTCTGTTTTCCTACATTTAGATGGTGGAATAACACAATTCTATTCCTAGTTTAGTTAAAGACCGAGACATGTTAGTTGACAAGAATAGTACAACAATAACATACCCACTAGAATCCTACAAGTGGAGTCTGGGGCTGTGATAAGTGCTTATGCTCCTTGATGTTTTGATGATCTCCTCACAAGTGCAGAGACCTGGTCCTCTGCAGAGTATGAATACTCGTCCAGTGGTCAAAGTGTTGTACAGCTGGAAAGTTGTCTGCGTCAGAAAGTTGGTGAAGCTGCAAAGTACTGCACCAATCAGAAGCGACGAGGTTGCATGTTCATTGGATAATAACTTTTCATGTCTAAATATATCCAAGGAAAAACAACAAGTTACTCATTCATTCAAAAGGAGAAAACTATTCAAGCTTCAAGACCAGCAAGGGACCTGATAGAATCATCATTAATGCTTTCTGTGTCTATTGTCTTGTTTGCTTGTAATAAGTACTTACATGGTAGGATTCGTTTCGTTGTGTTAAGAAACGTTTCAATTTGTGTGAATCATTGTGAGTTCTGAGTTAGAGTTAACTTGGTTCTTACTTTAAATCTATATTAATCAGGATAGGATTAGTATAGTGGGTAGTGTGGTATCTACTCTAGCTCGTCTAAGTAATAGGAGGGGTTACTTAGAGTTGGGATTAGCAGGCTAATCTCGGTTTGTAACTAGCTTTTACTTTTGCTTGAGAAGATTAGTGAAAAACAGTTCTAAAAGTCCTGGCAGGCCAGGTCGTGGTTTTACTCCTACGTAAACTCTCTTGTCAATCTTTACCTTTCAGCACTTGTTCTTTACTGTTTTAGTTTCAACTGTGCTGAGGACCTGGTCCCATTGACACTGATGGACGTATACATTCCAACAGGCTGCCTCGTGGAGTTGAAGAGGCTCTTTCATATTGTTTCTCAAATTTCATTTTCCTGCTTATTTCAATTTGATTGGAAATAGGGTTATACCGATTCTTTGTAATGTTGATAAGATACATCATAATAAGAAAATATATTTTGTTGACTATCAATCTATTGCAGTCATCTTCCTTTCCACATACATGCATCTAAACAATTATGTTTCACGAAAGTGCTGACAAAGTGGAAAGGAACACACACAGTGCAACTCTAGAGATGAAATTTTACAATGAGAAAAATTCCCCAATCTGGATAACTGATTATTGGAATTTTGACTTTCCGAATACGTCCATTGACGCCCGCTCAAAGGAGACTTGTTTTCCTTTTTAATTAAAACCAAGTTGCTTTGCAATGTTCCACCACCCTACTCTACTCTCTCCCTATCAAAATAAATGTCCTTTTAATTCTTTTCACCAGTTAAAAAAACAATAAAAAATATATAAGGTACTATTATTTATTGAATTCTTCTATTTATTATATCTTTTAAAAATTGGGTATTATTTGTTTCAGAATAAGGATATAATTAGAAACAATTACTTTTTCGGTGTGAACGTTGTAGAGAAATGAGGACAATAATGGGGATAAAATTCCAGTTCACTCAATAAGAAAACAAGAAGAAAGTTCCTAGTAACGCTGATGAGTGATGGGAAAGCAAGAACCCCACCAATTTTCAAATTTATTTGTTGACTTGTGGGTGTATTGTGATATTCTCGTGTTTATTAAGATACACGTGCCTCGGCTCCCACGTTAGCAATTAATTATACAACAACCAAAAATTCAGTGAATTGGTATGGATCTAACGTGTCAATTAGATGGGTTGAGTAGAATTTGAGTGGATTAAATTTGATTGAAACAGGACTGCAATGTGAGTTGTAACTCAATCCGTTCAATTCTTAGTAAGGTTTAATTATTTTATTTGTTCTTTTATGAATTTTTAGTACCTAAAATTATTGTTTTCTTTATGGTAACTATATATATAACATATCAAATAAAAAAATGTCTTCTGAAAATTATTTTGGCAATCTCTCTTGAATCAATTTGGACAGTATATCAACCCAATTCGTTGAGCTAGTAAATGGACGGGTCACACTCGAACGGATTGGCTGATGACTGATGATTCATCACTCATCAGCTGACTAACGACCGTCAAGTACAGTAATAGTCACCTCATTGATCGAAGATGGTGTTGTTTCTGTTGTACCCAAGTCAGAGTGAGGGGTAATCAATGGCTGCTTTGGGGAGGGAATCGTTGCTTCATTACTTAGCATGAATAGAACTGATGACATGGTTGGTCTGTCCCCTGCATTCACTTGCAAACACAAAAGTCCTACTTGAATACAGCGTAGTGCTTCCTCACTGGGGCAAGAATCAACTATGGTTGGATCTATCAGCTCAAAGGCCTTGCCATCATTCCAAAGCTCCCAGGCCTGAATCATTAGTTCATTGAAATGGATAAATTTGATTCTTAATCAAAGAAAGATTCGAACATTTGCATTTTACAACTTACCTGTCGTATCAAATTTGGAGGGGAATCACTATTATAAGAGATTCTGTTCTTTTTTCCACTAATGATCTCCAATAATATGACACCAAAGCTAAAGACATCAGATTTTACTGAGAAGAGACCAGCTAGAGCATATTCAGGTGACATATAGCCACTGCATAGAAAAGGAGCTATAATGAGTAGGCAAAATATTGGTAAGTAGTATGGGAAAAGACCTTTCAGTATTTGCTTGCTTACTATGTGCCAACTATTCGAAGAGTATTTGCTTCATCTTGGTTTCCGCTAAATATTCTTGCTGTACCAAAATCTGATATCTTGGGGTTCATGTCTTCATCTAAAAGAATGTTGCTGGCTTTCAGATCACGGTGGATTACTCTCAATCTTGAATCCTGATGCAGATAGAGTATCCCTCTAGCTATACCAATAATGATCTCATGCCTCTTTTTCCAATCAAGCAACGACCTCCTGCTCTCGTCTAAGTTGTACATATCAAATTTATCCAGTAAGCACACATTTGACAGGAGGAAAGGGTTAACACAAAAACAGATAGTAGTAAATTATCATACCGAAAATGAAATAGTCTAGACTTTTATTTGGCATATATTCATATACCAACATTTTCTCCTCATCTTCTACACAGCAGCCAAGGAACCTAACAAGGTTTCTATGTTGGAGTTTTGCAATGAGAAGGGCCTCAGTTTTGAATTCACTTATGCCTTGCCTTGATTGAGTTGATAGCCTTTTCACAGCTATTTTCTGCCCATCTGGCAATTGACCCTAGAAATTGCAAAAAAACATTTATCACACCTCCAAAACATAAGTACAGCTAGCAAAGATATTAACTAAAATCAGGATATATACTATCTGGCTATTTCCCGAGGGATTTCTTTCCATTTTCTTTAGGTGTGAGCGCATATTTGTGTTGCAGACTTGCAGGTATTCAGGTTGTAGTAACAATACCTTAAAAACAGGACCAAAACCTCCTTCTCCAAGTTTATTATCAGGGGAAAAATTGTCTGTCGCGGCTTTCAAGTCATGTAGTTCAAAGAACTTCAGTTCAATGTCACCGTTCTTTTCTTGTCCCTTTCCAATGGAAGTTCCAGGTTTTGACATGTTAGTTGCTGAGTCAGAAAGTAACAGTTCCCTGAACTTCATCTTTCTCAAAATCCCTGAAAAGGCAATAGAAACATGAAGTCTATAGATGAAGCTGTACATTGGTAATTTTAACTTATAATCTAATCCATGATTGTAGTGAGTGTGACAGCGAGAACACAGTTAAGTCAGATAACCGGCTACTAGTAAGATCTAGAATATCACACGAAAACTGCCCACGTTCCAGCAGTTTAATAATGAATCCAGAAGGACTAGGTTCATTTATTGGCATACCACATATGTTCATTGTTAAGAAAATGTCAATCTCGATTGAAAGCTAGTTCATGAGGTGAGGATAGCCAAGACAATATAAGGAGACAAGATCCTATACCCTCATCGCCTCAACCAATGTAGGCCACATTAACATTCATAAAGCGCTGGCATAGCTATTGGAAATATAAAGAAGTACCTTTTTTCTTGAGCTTTCGTCTCCATAGAAAGTAACAGCATGTACCACAGACAAAAATTGATGAAGTGATGGATGCTACTAGCACTACAAACGATGACTTTTTATTGCCTGAGCATTAAGATAGATGGGGAGAGGAGAAAACGAACATAATGTCAGTTTCAAGTAAGCACAATTAGAACAAGATGCAGTTTAGAAGCACCTAACCTTTGTTTGAACGCTCAAAAATTTTTATGCTTAACACTGCTTGACGTGAATTATCAGATAAGCTTCTCAGATTGATAAGATCATCATTCCATAATAAGCAGACTCCACTATTGCTGTAAACATAAGCATTGCATGAGCAATTGGATGAACATATATATTCACAGATCTGATCATTCCCTACTTGCATTGATTCAGATGATGCAGGAAGTACAACATTTTGCATACGAACAAAACCATCGTTATTGCTGCCACACTGCAGCGGAGTTATTCTCACACACCCACTAGAATAATCATTAGTAGCCCAACCTAATGGAAACTTGGGTTCATAACCTTGTAAACATCCACAGATTGGATTGGTATTTATATCACAAATTCCAAAAGCACCACATAAATTCGTTGTGTCACACATATCAACAGGTACAGACCGCACAAACATCCAATTCTGACTCTCATTAGACCAGAAGAATTCCCCCATGAACCCGCTATGATCTAGGACAATTCGAGAAATGACAGATTCACCAAAGACATTGTATGTAATAAATGCACTATGTTCAGTTGGATTATAACTGAAGTTGGATAAATACTTGGATACTTTCACGAGATTCAAAGGCACCCAGCTCCACATTTCCACAAGGTTACGTAGTATGACTAACTCACCATTTTGATTAGGGTCTAATTGCAAAGAGAAGTGTCCTGAAGCGGTATCATTCGTATTCGTCCAAGAAGTAAGTTTCTGGAGTGTGTTCTTGGACTTATCAAATCCAATCCTCGCACCAGGCAGCCATGTATCGGTAGGATAATCAAAGCTCTGCCACTGTATTTCAATGCCATTTGTCAAAATGAAATTTCCAGAATCAAGAAGTACTGCCCTATTGACATCTGCTGTGGATAAATTAGAGTCCCAAACTCTCTGTTTACGTGCATTAAAGATTCCTAGATTTCCATCAGACAGCTCTAGATGAGAATTATTGAACGGAGGGCGGATAGGGTTGTCCCTATTTGCTATCCAAACCACGGTCTTGGGCTTTATGTTTGTATACCATATACCAATAAAAAGCTTTTCACAATTACCTGGACAGAAGAAACCGAGTTCAAACTTCCCTTGTTTGGACACTAAAGTATCTGCTGCAGAAAAGGAAAGGATTTGTCCAGGCAATAAGTTGTCTGAACGCGTATTATTGCACCTAACTAAATGAAAACAAGAAAGCAAGAGAACTAAATCAACCAACAATATCTTCATTCCCAAATACCTGTTTTTAAAAAGCATTGACAAGTCGAGGGAATAGACGAATTAACACAAACAAACATTCAAGTATCCATAAGTATATCAATGTTATCATCTCAGAGAAACAGAAAAAATAAAATTAGTCTTTGAGAATTCTACCAAACCATTAATATAACCAAAGTTACGCAACAAATCAAACACCTTAGTCAAAATATTTGAAAATTCTACGTAAGGACAATATCCAATTGATGAAAGTGACATCAAACTGTAGTAGTGCAATCATTCCACTAAAAAATAAGTACTAATAATGTTGTGAACATGGATAACCCGGATATTAATGCATATGGACCAATTATCTGGACAGAGGCTGGCTAAGATGTTGGGCGTAAGGTTAAACTACAAAGAGGCACAAGAATTAGACAGCCTAACGGAAGATTTGTTTGGGATTCAAGTTGAGTAGGAATTACGTGACAAAGGGTTGTCGTCAGCTGCTTTGGAAATTATGGACGAAAATGTGTACTCCTCTCGTCCCCTTTCTTAAAGTCTCAAGTTTTTCATGCCTATTTGTATCTCTATTCTTAATTATTTGTTATATCAGTATTTTCCATTGCAATTCAATAGTTTTAATGTTGCAGTTGTAATTAGACAATATCATTGATTATACAATACATAATTGAGAATTCTGATTTATTAGAAATAACGAACTAAGAATTCCAGTCATTCGCCGTGGATGCTCCTTCCAGATACTTGCTGCAATAAATGGCTGGAAATTTTGGTACCGAAATAACCAACTTATGAAATTGGACTTTTGTTTGGTTATACTTTTTTGTAAAAGAGGAAACACAAGTTTTTTGAAAAGAAAAAATAAGCTTGTATTCAAACATAAAGGGCAAAGCCGTGGTTTGACAATATTATATTCTATTCAAATTTCAAACATAGAGGATTGATTTATCTTTAGAGAAGAAAAAATAATACTGTAGTAAGTTGGATTGTTGATAATTTACCTTGAGAAAAACTTTGACTGAACAGTTCCTCCAATGCCCCAATCTGATTTTGTGAGAACTGAATTGAGCTTCCAAATAATTAAAGTGACGGTCCACATTGGCTATCATCACATAATTCTTTAGTAAAAATAAAATAAAATAAAATTGAAAGATGACTTCCTTAATTGGCACCAACCGCACATCATTAATTAGTTTCCTTGAAAATCCATTGTAAGGCATTTTGACGAATGAAAAGACTGACTTGGTCCAAAATAAAATTTCCAACAAGCAAGGCAAGTTCTAAGAAAATAGTAGACAAGTCCCTAACTAGCTCGTTTGACTAGTCTAGAAATGGGATATAAAAAACTTCCTTAATTCTATAAATATCCACACTTAATTTATGTCATTTTTTATATAACAAGCAATAGCTTCTAGCAATATTAATTTGTGATTGTACTACAGGAAAAACAAATATGGTACATTTAGAGTTTCAAGACTTGCTGCCAATTATGGCGAGAAAGCTAGGTGGAGAGGGACTGATCAACGAGCTATGCAAAGGTTATCGGATGTTAATGGATGGTGAGAAAGGAGTGATCACAATTGATAGCTTAAAGAAAAACTCTGAGCTGATGGGATTGCAAGAATTTAGTGAAGAAGAATTGAAGAACATGATTAGAGAAGGAGATATGGATGGTGATGGAGCTCTTGATCAGATTGAATTTTGTATTTTGATGTTTAGATTGAGTCCTGACTTGTTACTTATGGCTCAACAATTGTTACATAAAGCTGATCAACAACAAAATATTGTACACCTTAAGTGATACTGCATTATTCCTGATTCATATGTAATGTTTCACTTGATTTGTCAATGTTAAACTTTTCTTCTTATAACCATGGTGTTCAAGTTAGTTTGTGTGTAATTTGATTGATTTCACGGAATGTTATCTCCTACCAGCATAGATAGTAAGTAAATAGCTTTATCCAACAAAGTTTGGAAAAATAAAATTAAAGTTACAAATAGTACTTTTATTACCTTAGAATTCTCAACACTCTTCACTGACCTAGCGGTGAAACTTGCTTTACAACATGAACTTGAACAAGTATGTGAGGGGATTAACCAATTCGACTCCAAAGATCATGTAAATGTGAATCAATTACTAATTCACGAAGAAAAAAATAACTCGTGATGAAGTATGCACTACGAACCAAGCTCAATAATATTAAAACAATTTTAAGAATTATATTTATGTATGTTGACATATGAAAAAATGTGATAGACTCGGATTAGCTACATATAAAGTCACTCAACTTAACTTAATAGAGTAATTGTCAAAAATATCTTCAAATTAATTTAGCTAACAATAAAATTAAATCACTCAACTTTCACTACATATCCAAAAATATCATTTAGGCAAAAGACCAATAAAAGCATGGTGGAAATCATTCTATTCTATTTAACAATTTTTTTATCAAGTTAAAAAAAAATGTTTAACCCAAGTTTGGAGCTGTGTTAGGTTTTTTACAAGTCGAGTTTTGGGTTACGGTATTCATTTGGATAAAATTTAGAAATAGTTATTTTCACTTCATGTAATTGAAAATATTTATATTATAGAGTTTTCAAATTTCATTTAGAATATTGTTAGTTCTCAAAACTGTGACGTGGTCAGTGTGCCGTATATCATCTTTATATTTGGGTCATTTTCTCTTCCCTCCCATCTCTCGGAATAAAGCTGCTATTTGTTATAGGGTTAAAGCAATTAGCGTCTGGACAATCGAAACTTGAGATTAAGCTTCTTCATTCTCAGGTAGCCTTTGTTTTTCTAAGCTTGTATTTTTGAGAAGGTAACAAAGTACTTTGCGAAATATTATTATTACAAACTTTGATTCATTGAGCTTTAACTGCTTGCCATTGTTGTAGTCATGAAGTTATATACATAATTAATGTATTGTATTGTTTGATTGTAGTGTATGGATGGTCTGATGACCTATGCACACCACATGTTTGATTATTTGCTTATTAGACTTTCAAGTTTCAACCTCTATGCTTCGAATTATGTAGCCTTTAACGGTAGCCAAAAGCAGAATTTTAAGTCGTCCATGTGGAATACCACCGTCTACGCTACTTCTTCGTGTGGATTTTGCTTAGTTTAATATATTTTTGTTAAATAAAACTTAAAAAGACCTAGTACTGTGCTCAACAATTCAACATCAATGTTATGGCTTCTACATTTGGCTTTGTTTAAATACCTTTTGAATGTAATGCTAGTCATTTTGCATGTACATAAGACTGTGATGTGGATGATGAGATGTTTGATGTTTACTCTTATCTGCTAGTTTGAAGTGATGTCTTAAGATATGTGTTTTGTAGACTAGAGTTTGATAAAATTTCACTCTTAATTTTGGTTGGTGTTATCAACAGGCTTCTTGTATTAAGAGTTATCCTCGTAGAGATTTTAATCCTCCCAGCAAAGTATTTAAGCGAAGGAAGATGGTCATCCATTCTGCATTAAATCTTAACTTTTGTGCTATTTCATCACTCTCTGCACTCAAAGCAGGGCAACAGTGTAGTTCTTGCTCTTTTTCTAACTTCCTATTGCCACCTCCTTTGAAACGTCTGACTTGCTTTGCCACTTCAAGAAAGTCTGAAGAGGAACAGGTGTCTGATCCTAAGCATAACTCTGGTTCAAGGCCTAGGAAAGCTACAAGGTCCCAGGAAAATAAAATTTCTCATAATGAAGACAAAGACTCTGCCAAGATCTTCCCAACAACAATCCCTAAAAAACCGAGGCGTGGTCGCAGGAGCGAAGCAGCTGCAGTTGAGGATTTTGTTCGTGATTCATTAGAAAAGACATTTGCCTCTATCCGAGAGCAGAACTCTGATATGATGAAAGATACCGAGAATATCCTCAAAGATAGGGTTGATGATGACACCGATTCTGATGAAAGTAGTGATGATGAAGATGACAGCAGTAGGGATAAGAAAGAAAAGAAAATGATCATTGAGGAGGAGGATCCAAATTGGCCTCTGGATGCAGATGTTGGATGGGGAATTAGAGCATCAGAGTATTTTGACAAGCATCCAATAAAAAATGTTATAGGAGAAGATGGAGTTGAGATCAATTGGGAGGGGGAGATTGATGATTGCTGGGTGAAGGAAATCAATTGTCTTGAGTGGGAGAGCTTCGCTTTTCATCCCAGTCCCCTCATTGTTCTTGTTTTTGAGAGATACAATCGGTAAGTGAATCTTGTTTTGTTTACAAATTGAAGTCCTAGAGGATATATCCTATAAGCAATATGCAAGTCTTTTATGTTCTCTGAGATAATTTCTAATTGCACAGGGCTAGTGACAACTGGAAAGCTCTTAAGGAGCTAGAGAAAGCAGCCAAGGTGTATTGGAGTGCCAAAGAGCGCTTGCCTCCTCGGGTTTGTGAAACATAATCACTTGTCCTTACATTGTCCGTTAGTGAACCCTCTTATCTTACTTTCCCCTAATTACTTGGTGTAGACTGTGAAGATTGACATTAATATTGAGAGGGATCTAGCCTATGCGCTTAAAGTTAAAGAAAGTCCACAGATATTGTTCTTACGAGGAAACAGGATACTATACAGGGAAAAAGGTACTTCTTATGTATCCCCTCACTAGTTTGATAAAGTAATTGTAATCTTTTTAGCTACATTCATTGTTATGTTGAACGATTGTTTACTTTGCAACTTCCGATAAATCTATGCAGAAATTCGTACAGCTGATGATTTGGTTCAAATGATAGCATATTTTTACTACAATGCGAAAAAACCTTCATGCATTGATGATGCAGCTTTATCTCAACAGTCATAGTCAACGGAGGTACTGATGCTGACTTGTCTAGGCTTTCATTAGAAGCTCATAGATTAATGTCATTAAAAATATTTAAACTTGTATGCACATCTCAGATTAAGAACAAGGCAATGGAGCATGGATCGATCCCTGTGTAACTGGAATCAATCGTGGTTGTTTTGTTCACGGGAAAACAATTGACCAATTGAGGACAGAACCTTAGAAGAGTGACTGGTTGAAACGAGATGATGGTACTACCCGCTTGATGCTTCCAGCTGCTGATGTAATTAGCAAGTGGAAGGTTGAAGAAAAAGGCTATATACTATAATGTGCTTAAAGTAGTGCCATACTATATAGAAGAGGATAGTTGGAAAGAGAACACTCAGTTGCATGATCTTACTTTAGTTTTATTTGCTTGTTTACATATCATACTAGCCCTAGATGTCTATAAACTACTTTATGTATTTAACTAGAAAAGTCCATGCACCTTCTGTTACTTACATGTATCTTGACCTTGCTAGCTATAAATAAACGTTTTCGGAGGAGACGTTTGTCACGCTAGGTATGGAACTTTTTCCCATTAATACTAACCTAGATAGATATGAATGGATACTGTATTGGTACCTTGCTTTATTCCATCTTAAGATAGGAAAGTTCAGATCAGATAAACAAGACACAGTATGTTCCTTGGATGAGTCAACTATGTCTGCTTTTATCTGTTTTAGGTTATATTGAGATACTAAAGTGCTTTCTTTTGAAAAGTTTTGGATATCACATTATCAGGAATATGCCCTGATTAAAGATATGTTAAATCACTCAACATCAAACCTAACTAGGACCATTTGTAGATAATACAGTTTAACAAAACCTGAACTCTGAATAGACTCAACTAACAAACTTTCACCTAATTGACCTCTTAAATATGCGGTGATTTTGTTCATCTACTTAATACTTGGCGGGTGAAGTCTGACGATATTTTAGTGGAAGGTAGCAGATATTTGATGATACTCCTCCGTTTTAATTTATTTTTTCTACTTTTTTTTATAGTCCATATGTTTAATTTTGGGGACATTGTTTAAGGCTACAAGGTTAAAGGACATTTTTGTATATTCTACACATGTTTAATTTAAGACCGCAAAATTTAAAAAGCTTCTTTACCTTCATCTGGGTGTTTGTTGTTGTACTAGATGTATTATTGTAGTTTTTGCTTTTGTTTCAATTATCGCATGTGTCTTGTTCCTTTCTTGTAGGATTTACACTGCTTCCCTTGTTAGTTGTTATGTTTTCTTATCCTTTGTACCTGTTATTTATGAGATTTTTCTGAATATGTTATTATTATTATTGCACCTACTTAGACTTTGTGTCAAATTAAAACATGACAATTAAATTAAAACTGATGGAGTATAATAAACGAGTTGGCTAGAACACCCATCTTCTTGTTAAGAAAAAGTTCCACGCCCTTCCAAAGAACATATTATATGATGGGACAAATAAAACCATTTAATTGATTAATAATTTTATAAGTAACATTAATCAAGTTGGGACGATAGGAATATACTGTAAAATGATCCAGACATTTGGCAAGTATGAGAGGTTGTCACGAAGGCTTTAATTTTGTCATAACGGAAAAATTACAATTTAAAAAGGTCCCATTTACCAACCTATGTCATTCTCAATTTTCTTAATTCCAACATCCATTCATTTATTTATTCTTGTCGTTTTCTTTTATGCTTATCATAGCTATCGTAATAGGCGTATATACCCTTTTTATATAGTTGGAAATTATATGCATGCTAAGTCTTAATGATTTATCAAGTGAGAATGAAAATAGCATATTATATCGAGATCTAAGCAGATAAAGTGTATCGAGATCTGAAAAGATAAAGTGTATGAAGATTTTATCATCAGTGTTTTATAAGATTAATCAAGTTAATTAACTTGGAACATATTTAAAGTACATACTAGAAATCTTTCTCATCGCAGGATTACGAAATTCACGTGGTAAGAAACAATCAACTCTTTATATTGACGTGTTTTTGTGGTATTGGATTTTAATGCTTTTTAAAAAAAATAAAAATTGCATACTTTATGTGAGTTGACTTGTAACAGTTCCACCGCTAAGGGTAAATCAGTAAATGAATATCATTTTCATAACGGTTACACTTTCTCGTGACTACAGACCGATATATTAATCAGGGGACCGTTAAGGTACTACCCTACTAAATTTTACTTCCAAAAATACCCCTTTTCATTGAACTGCGATTTTTCGTAATTTGTTAATTAATGAAAAGATATTAGGAAATTGAGTTTATTTTCAAGTATAAGATTCAATTTCCCTTTTTGAGAGAAAAAGTGACCGACAAATCCTTTTGAATCAATTTAGCTTTGAGAGTCCCAAACGGCAAATATCAAACTTGTCAATATCTAGCAAATTACTATATGTTTTCCTAATTATTATTTTCACCTACCCATATTGAGCTAGTGTTTTATGATATTATATATTTAAGATATTATGTGAGTTAATATATTACTATTATTGATGTCATTTTCAAGGAGAATAATGTCATTTTACATAGTGATGCATGTCACAAGCTGAGCTCTTCCACCTCACAAGTGTACACCTTTTACTTGACCTAAACCTCATAAACCCTCTCTTACCTCCACACACACACTCTTCTATATATTATCTATATCTATAGATAGATACGTATAGAAAGAGAATCTAGAGAGAGAAAACAGAAACCCATTTCCCAGAAGGAACAAAAATAGAAATGGCAACTTCAACCCAGTTCCCGGACGATTTTCGGTGCCCGATTTCCCTTGAGATTATGTCCGACCCGGTTATTCTCTCATCGGGTCATACCTTCGACCGCTCTTCAATCCAACGGTGGGTCGACTCCGGCCACCGGACTTGCCCGATCACCAATCTACCCATTTCCGACCCGGTTTCTCTCATCCCTAATCATGCCCTTCGGAGTCTCATTTCCAATTATACCCTCGTCTCTTTCCCCAAACCACTGGCTTACCCTGACCCACAGTCCCTTATTCAAACCCTTATTGCTTCTTCTTCTTCTTCCAATTTGGATTCTAAGCTCAACTCGCTCGACCAACTAAGTAAGCTGTCTAAGCGTGACTTGGCGATCCGAAGGAAACTCACTGAGTCAGGCGCTGTTTCTGCTCTTCTCAATTGCGTTAACTCGGATGATGACTCGGGTGGTTTGCAGGAGAAAGCGCTTCATTTGTTGTTGAATTTGAGCTTGGATGATGATAACAAAGTGGGGTTGGTGGCAGAAGGGGTTGTGGGGAGAGTGGTCTCCGCTTTAAGGAGAGGTGCTGGAGACTCGAGGGCGGTGGCCGCCACGGTTTTGACGAGTTTAGCGGTGGTGGAAGTGAATAAGGCAACAATTGGGGCATACCCAGATGCAATTCAAGGGTTAATTTCGCTGCTTTGGGGTGGCAGCGGTAGAGAGAGAAAGGAAGCTGCTACTGCTCTCTACACGCTGTGCTCTTTCCCCGATAATCGGGTTCGGGCCGTGGAAAACCAGGCTGTTCCAGTACTGATTAAGAATGCTAATTCAGGCCTAGAAAGATCAGTTGAGGTATTGGGATTATTAGCAAAATGTAGAGAGGGTCGTCATGAAATGATTAAATACTGTGGGTTATTGGATGTTTTGATAAAATTCTTGAAAAATGGGTCTTCAAGAGCTGTGCAATATGCTCTTTTGACCATCAGTTTGCTGTGTAGTTACAATGAAAGGATGCGTGTGTTGGCTGTAAGAGAAGGGGTGTTTGAGATTTCTGTTGGCTTATTAGAAGATGATAATGAGAAAGTGAGAAGGAATGCTAATAGCTTGATTCAGGTTTTACAAGGGAAAAGATTAAGTCTTTGATTGGTTTATAAGGAAAAGATGTGAATTTGGCAAGTGTTCATTTTGAATGGATTATGGAAGCTTTGGAGGAGGGTGAAGAAGAAGGTGAGTTGGGCTTCCTCACAATTATTTTTGTTGAATAGTTTTTCTTTGTACAAAAAGATTAGAATTTTAGGGAAAAAAATGTGTATCTCTCTTTTCATCTATCAATCTCTCTTTTGTTTTTTTTTTTGGTTTTATATTTTCAACATAAGAATGAAAAAAAAAAAAGATCAATGGTTCTTTCACTGTCTTTCTCTTGTCTCTTCTATTCTCCTCATTGAGTTCTGTTGATGTAAAATTAAAAATCCAATATTTCCAGTTTTTCCTTTTACATTTAGTAAGAATGATCAATGAGAGCCTACATATAGCTGCTTATAAACAGTATACAAATACAATAGTGTCCAAGATATTTTCTAGTGCTGGTAAAGACTACAAAGTAATTAGGCATGATTTGAATAAAGAAAGATTTGTTCTGCCTATTTTTATCCATATTGGTACACTTGCTTAAAGATTTCATTTGTGGTACTTTTTGTGCATGGAAAGGGGTGAAGCACATGATTGATTTGATCTTTATTTTTGGATTTCCACCTTACATGTTAAGACTGAGACTGTCCCACCTCTATTGCTACTTCATCAATTTTCATCTAACTGGATTGTAATCTGCTAATGGCTAAATGGTTGCTGTTAGTTGAGGTTACTACAAGCCAAAACACTTCATTCTCCAAATTGTTTAGAGGCGGATTCAGAATTTTGAGTTCTACAGTTTGAAATTCTGGATTAACCGGCATATTAGGTTTGCAAAACCATGAACTCGTGAGCAAAAGTTGAGAGTTGTCAAATGTAGTTAGTTAGTTATGTTGGAGCAATGTAACTAACACTCGGTTTGGATCATTGTTACCCATTGTTTCATAATGTATTGTATTTTATTGTGCTATACTGTATGGTAGATTCAATGTTCGGCTAGACTGTATTGTTTGTTGTTGTTTAATAACATTTTTATTGTTTGGTTTGACTATATCGTACTGTATTGTAATTTATAAATCTACAAAAATATCCTTAATTATTCTAGGATAGGAGATTTGACTAGAATTAAATAATATATGGTAAAGGGTAAAAAAGTATTATGAAATATTATGCCATGATATAATTGAAAAAAGAAATTAAGTAACAAAGGGAACACACCAAATCGATTGTTCCATAAAATGGGAGTTTTCATTTTTACGTAACAACGAAATTTAACAATACAATACATTTTAAGTAACAATCAAATACATAAAAAAAAAAAAAGTGTATAATAAAAAGGGCACATAGTTGAATGGGACCAAATAGTTTTTTCCATTTGGATTACATTCATTATAAGATTGGATGAACCTTCCATACATACCTATCCTTGTTAAATTTTTAATTTGTTAGGTAAGAATCTTATATCGAGGTTTGAATATAAAACAAATTAAAGTTGGAAAATCTTAGGTGACCATATCCCCGCACGCTTAGCATTTAGATTCCTCTACCTCTTCTGAATTAAATACACCACAATTTCAACGCTCTCCCAAACAAGCCTCAATGTCATCACATTAAATTAAATTAAATTAATAAATGTCATGTATATATTTTTCTATATAAAATTTTATTATTATTTGTTGATAAAGACGGTTCTTCTTTTCTTTTATTTTTTCTCATTCAAACTTTGCATTCAATTATGAAGCTTTTGTTCATTTTTTTTCTTGTGGACATATTCAATTCAACGGAAGTTGCATATAGATTCATTTCTGGTCCTTCCTAAGAATGTGCCAAAGCCTATATGGCTTCTTACTTCTTTTCTCTCGTCAGTCGTCAACGACATTTAATTACACGATTTTTCCTTCAAATTTATTGATCATTAATTTTATTTTTTTAAATGAACTGGTCTTTAATTTTGCCTTCGAAAAATCAAAATTATATTTTGGGGGACATAAGTATTTTAAGAGCATAATGCATAATTTGTGATATATTATGATATGAAAATATCAACTTACGTATATGAAAGAGTTACTATTTGTGAAAGACAAAAATTAAAGGCTAACACTAATTAGGGAAAAATTGAAAACAACCCATTTAAGGGGGGGAACACTATTTCATGGGCCTGGGCTTTATATTGTGGGTTTACAAATTTGTAGGCCTATGGGCTACAAACCAGTCCAGCATAATAATCCACATTAGAATCAGCAGTCAACTTGAGATAAATATTTGTTCCACATGGAAAGCCATTTGAACAATATCTTGTGGTATATTATACTATTTATAACTCAAAATGCATAATAATGTAATTTTAAATATACTACCATCTCTAGATTATAATTGATTAATGCATGTATTCATATTATTTTATCACTTATGATAAATTAAGATAAGTTGGGATAAATTTCGTGTACAAGTACAATTTTACCTGTTTATTGTCCCTAAAACGAAAACTCATTCTATGTTATGGGAAACAGAACTCATTCTAAAGTTACTAGTTTGATGGTCATCATTAAATTAGATGCTGGGGAAATTAGTGACCACAAAAATACAATGAATAACATCTAAGAAAAATACTTCCTCGATTACAATATATTTGTCAGATTCTAACTTGACATGGAGTTTAATAAACTAAAGAAGATTTTTGAATTTTGTGGTCTTAAATTAAAGAAACGTAGAATGTATCAAAATGTTCTTTAATCTTGTGGTTTTAAATATGTCCGATAGAAAGTTGAATTTAATTAAAGAGTTTTCAGCAAAAGAAAAGAGATATTTATTTCTAAACGAATTTTTTTTAAAAATAGAACACATCAGGAAAAAAAATTAAGACCGACAAATTGAAACCAAGGAAGTACTATGTGATGAGTCATGCTTGGTGGACCATACTTTCAGCTTAAAAAATTGACTTAGATGATGAGCTTAATCAAATGAACAAATAGTATAGTGCGGATATGTTATAGAAAAAGTTGTGCTTATATAATATTGTAGTAAAGTAGTAGTAACAAGGTGTAGTGGTAGATTCAAAAGGAAGAGGAAGGTGACATGATGTAACCCTCGTAAAAGCCAACATTCAACTAAAAATATCATCATTTCTTCAACTACTTCATATGTGCTATTAAAGTAGTCTAATTAATTACACAGACATTCTTGTGCTATACTACTATATATATATATATATATATATATTACTGTATATGTACTACTTCATAAACAAGCAAGCCTCTCACAGGCCAAATGATTTTAACTTCATGCCTCCACGACATCCTTCAACCACAATACACTACTACCCATGCTAAAAAACAATTTCATTTGTATCTGGCATTACTTGACTTATCTAGTAGACTGTTTTTAGCTTTTATGTGTCGAGAGGAATATGGTTGATCGAATCATGATTTTGCGGATTAAATAGAATTCAGTATTTCGACATTGAATATTGTAAATGTGAATGACAAGTATGAAAAGAATTAGATATATTAACTCTTTAATTATTCAGAATTCCTAACGTCTAAATTCAGAATCTTCCAACATAGTTGTATTTCTAGCTATGAATTGACATATAAGATCTTTAATTTTTGTTAATCGTAATTGTGACTAAAGCCTTGAAATTTAACATTATTGTTAAGAGAAATAAGAACATATATAATGAAGATTTAGGCGTAAGGGCCGACCAAAAAGAAAGAGACGTGTCCATATATAATATAGTTGAAAACTTAATCCCAATCGAATATAATGATTGATTAGCTATGATGCATGTTTATTAAGTGCATATTATATTAATAATTGTCTTATATCATGAAAAAACTGAACAAAAAAATGATGAAAACTTAGATAAATAGGATGAAGTAAATTAAGCAAAGATGATCACGCATTCACGCTTCAAAGAAAAAGTATATTGTTCAATATACAAATAATTGTTTTACTCTGACGACTCGATCTCGTTCTAATTAAGTTCAGGGGTTGAGTGTACTCTGGCCATGACCAAATTCATTCGGATTTGTTCGTAGCTTTGAGTCTCGTACAATATATTAATTTAAAAAATTGAACGAGACACATACGTCCTACATAAATAATCACATGAAATGTATACATTCAACACGACAAATCGCATGAAAATTGTTATATAGGACGCGTGAGTCTACTTGTTCAACAGTATGATTGCTTAAGTGCTTACTTCTGCACATCCAAAGTTGAAGGGTATAAATGTCATCTAAGGCCAAGCTAAAGAGCATGACAAGAGTTCAGTACAGTATAATGACGAGTCTCATGTTGTGACATGTACAAATGGGACAATTCTTTTGTATTATATCCATGACGAATAAGACCGGTAAATAAAAATTTCACTTAAAAAAGACAGTTTGATGTATAAAGTTTTTGTTATGTGTGGGGCCTGGAGAAAAACTGAAACATATAATGGTCTAACTTTTTTTACATAATACACAACAAGACTCATTTCACTACCCCATTAAATTGTCATGCTTTAGATATTCAACCCTAAACGTGAGACGAGGTATAGAAGAATAAAATATCTCACAACGATGATCTTTATAAATCCATGCGGACTCACATATTTCTACTAATCTAGTGTGAGTAAAAGGGTAAATTCAACAAACCTTTTTGGGTTTATCTGTTGAATTATTAGGATAAATCAAATAATTCAACCGTTAATTGAATCACGAAGACAATAGCATAAGATACAAAATCAGATCGCTACCAGTATATATGATAATTCAATAACACTTTTTCGAATCATCAGTTTATCATTCAGTTAAATCAAAATTTACACCCCACTCCTTAATTGGATACTCCACTGCGCCTTTATTTATTTTTTAAATTTTATTTATCTATTTTTTCTTACATATTCAAAAATAATTTACATTCTCTATTTTACCTTTCAAATAAATTTAGCTCCGCAATCAAACGTTAGTTCAAATATACCCCTTATCCTAACAGAACCACTAGGGTAAATTCAGCCCACTTATGAAAGTACAAGGGATAGCTTTTTTTCTTAACCCCGGGATAACCTACAGTCGATCACTAAAACTTCTGCCACAGTCTCTACCCTTTAGGTGAGCACTCTAGTCAATTAGTCCAACTTAATTCATGTTTTAAATTCTAAACCATGTACCATAAATTGGATCTTTCTGGTTGTAGTAATTGAAAATGACACATGCATTGATACGTGGTACAAC